ACCTGTGAGGTTCTAGTATGTGTCTATCCTCACTCAAAGCGTCTATGTGTCTGGCACTATCCAACATCACTCAACTTGTGAAGTTTCCGTATGTAGCTATCCTCACTCAATGCGTCCATGTGTCCGGCACTATCCAACATCACTCAACTCGTGAGGTTTCAGTATGTAGCTATCCCCACGCAGCGCGTCTATGTGTCTGATAAACTCAAAAACAAATCCATCTGTGAGGTTTCAGTATGTAGCTATCTTCACTCAACACGTCTATGTGTCCGGCAATCTCCAATGCAAATCACCCTGTGAGGTTTCAGTATGTGTCCTTCCTCCCTCAAAGCGTCCATGTGTCCGGCACTATCCAACATCACTCAACTCGTGAGGTTTCAGTATGTAGCTATCCCCACGCAGCGCGTCTATGTGTCTGATAAACTCAAAAACANGTCCGGCAATCTCCAATGCAAATCACCCTGTGAGGTTTCAGTATGTGTCCTTCCTCCCTCAAAGCGTCCATGTGTCCGGCACTATCCAACATCACTCAACTCGTGAGGTTTCAGTATGTAGCTATCCCCACGCAGCGCGTCTATGTGTCTGATAAACTCAAAAACAAATCCATCTGTGAGGTTTCAGTATGTAGCTATCTTCACTCAACACGTCTATGTGTCCGGCAATCTCCAATACAAATCAAACTGTGAGGTTTCAGTATGTCTATCCTCACTCAAAGCGTCTGTGTCCGGCACTATCCAACATAGTGTGTCTGGCAAACTCAAGAACTAATCCATCTGTGAGGTTTCAGTATGCAGCTATCCTCACTCAACACGTCTATGTGTCCGGCAATCTCCAATGCAAATCACCCTGTGAGGTTTCAGTATGTGTCCTTCCTCCCTCAAAGCGTCCATGTGTCCGGCACTATCCAACATCACTCAACTCGTGAGGTTTCAGTATGTAGCTATCCCCACTCAACGCATCTATGTGTCTGGCAAACTCAAAAACCAATGCATCTGTGAGGTTTCAGGATGCAGCTATCCTCACTCAACACGTCTAGGTGTCTCGCAATCTCCAATACAAATCACCTGTGAGGTTCAATATGTGTCTATCCTCATTCAACGCTTCTATGTGTCCGGCACTCCAACATCACTCAACCCGTGGGGTTTCAGTATGCAGCTATCCTCACTCAACCCGTCTATGTATCTGGCAATCTCAAACCTCACCCAACCCGTGGGGTTTCAGTATACAGCTTTAATCACTCAACACGTCTACGTGTCCGGCAATCTCCTACATCACTCAACCTGTGAGGTTTTC